CGCTCTTGGTGACATTTCACTGATGTTTTACTTGATGGCCAGTAGTTACTCTCGGGTTTTGTTCATCTGTCCCATTGGGTCGCCTTGTATTTTCATTGCGAAACCAAAGCGATTTGGGGAGGGGATGGGTTTGTCCAGGAGGTCCTTGAGCCTGTTTTCAATGCATCATATGCAAAAAATGTGACTCAGGCACGGTGTTCGCCGTAAAACCCTGCTTTCCCTGTACAAATGTAATCCTGTGTGCCGCGGTTTCAATTTTCAATAAATCTTTGGGAAAGGATTTGAGCAAAGCGAGCGTGAGCATGCTGTTGTGGCCCAGGGCGAGCCAGCCCCGCTGGCTCCTGGTCCAGTGCCCGAAAGGCACATCCAAGTGGTTTGCACACCCCATGTCTGCCTCTTCTGTTTCCAAGCCATCTCTTTCCATGTGCCAAATTAAAGCTGTAAGTATTTTATTGCCAAATGCGTCTTACGCACATGTTGCTCTTTTTTTTATTTTATTTTTTTCTTCTTTTTTTTTTTTAATCACAAAGGGCTTTACAACCAGCGGATGAAGCTTGTCTCCAGTGAGAGAGCGGTCGTCTCTCAGATGAAACATGGCAGCATTTTAATAATGCACAGCAGCAGCTTGGAGCATTTTGGGACAGGAGGCGAAGGGGACGGCGTTCGGCTGCAGATAGGAGCAGGTAAGGGGGTAAACCTCCCATTCGCCTTCAAGCCCCTCCATCTGCACCTGGATAATGGCAAGTGAGAATGTCAACTCTTGCTCTCCATCAGCATCTCTCTTGAGGCTCTGCTGGGCTCTGGTCCCTGGGGAAGGGCTCCTCTCAAAGCTGATTTTCAAAATGCCACCACAGCTCAGCAGGTTGGTCAAGTGATAGTAAAGGATTAAAGTTTGCTTCTGTAGGGAGAGCACTGGTGCAGCTGCGTCTCCAGTTACAACGGGAGAGCTGCCACAGTGGGGAGATGCCACTTCAGAGTTGTATTTTTTTTAGTCAGGAGGTGGGTTTTTTGGGGATTTGGCTCCCGGCCTCCTACTTAAATCACGTATCTTGGGGAAAATGAGTTAAAAATACGTTTGCTCCGTGCAGCCACATTGAGGCTGCATGCTTGCTTTTCGGGCGTCTTGCACTCGTCTTTTGGAGTCTCTTGATTTTTAAAATGAGACTTCACCTTGCTAAGAAGAGAAGTGGAAGGTGATGGAGGTTGTAAAGAGCATTTCAGTGCTGCTTGGGGGAGAAACACCCGAAAAGTGGGTTCAGAAAACCCACCTGCCTTGGACATGGCTAGATTTTGGAATTTTATATGAAGTCCTCAGCATGCCCTAAAAAACTGACCTCCAGAGGTTAAAAACTGGATCTTTCATTTTTGAGGCTACATTTGTACCTTTGCCTTCTGCAAAATAAATGGGAATGAAAAGAGTCATCGCATACAGCACCTCCTGCTGGGGAAAAAAGGGGCAGAAAATTAATTGGAATCTCTGATTTTGCATGGGATTTTTGCCCTGTGCTTCCACTTATATATTATTTCATTATTATTTTCACAGGTTATTTCTGTTCAGCCATGAGCTGACAGGCCAAACCAGTACCAACCTTTCTTGGTGGGGAAAAAATAAGAATTTAAAATATATATATAAAAAATCTTAAAAATAAGAATTTAAAAAACATATATATAAAATATATAACATGGCAGACTTTGGTCCTGCAGCTGATGCCCCTTGGCTGGGATGCAGGATTTGGAACTGCTGTGTGGGACGGGGGACAGTGTAACTTGGCCATTGTCCCCCACCGAGAGATGAGAGTCAGGTGTAGGGTTAGGGAGAGCGCCATGGCCAGGGACTGACTCTGTTTTTTCAGCTCAAAGCTGCAGCATTTTGCAGATTATTTTTTTTTCCCTCATTTTGTGTCCTATAAACCATCACCCAGCTGCTGCAAAGGCAGCGGTGTTTCCTAAGGTGATAAATTACTTTGATTAACGCCTCTCCCCGTACTGTGGCACACACCGTGGCGGGGGGAGAGGCGTTAATCAAACTCATTTGTTACCTTAGGATACTCCCCGCCCGCGGGTGACCTATATTCCTCGTGGCACAGGGGGCATGCGATGGCATGGCGAGCATGCGGGTCCCCGCGCGTTATTTAACCGAGGGAGGCTCAATACCTGCTCTGGCTCCCCTGCCTTTCCGCTTTTATCTGCTCTAAAGGCTGTGTCAATAATACATTTCTGCCATTGAATATTTTATTGATGGTTTGACTTTTTTGCTGCTCGCAATTCCCATTTCAAGGCTGCATGATTGTTCCTAATTAAAATTTTATGCCCTGGGAGAAGCCTTCTTGCTACAGTGGAGATGATGCTGTCCTTTTCTAGGCCACTACAGAGTGGTAGGAAGGAATTACTCATTGTTATGAGATTAAAACAAAGCAAATAAATTAATGTTTTTTCCCTCAAAAAAACAAACCAAAAGACCAGCGTACGGCGCGTACTGGAGAGGGAACAACTGGCTTGCGGGCGAGGCAGGGATCCAAGCGTACAGGGTGGCTGGAGGATGCTGTGCCTGGGTGAGCAGGGAGTCGTGTCACCACATCCCTTGGATGCTGCAGGGCAGCTTCTTCCTTCCCTGCTGCGGGCAGGAACAGGCTTCAGGGTTTCTTCCTCCTCGGATGCTTCTCAGTGCCAGCTCCAGTACCACCCAAAAATCATGGAGCAGAGGATATTTCTGTTTTTCACTGGTGAACAGTCCCAGCGTTTTTTTTGTTGTTTGTTTTTTTTTTTTTTTTAAATAAAATAAATCTGCAAGCTACCTGCAGTCTCTGTCAGCACAAGGCACCATTCAGAAGAGTAATTCAGCCACCTCCAGCCTCCCTGGGGCCCTTCTCTCTGCACCACCTGATTTTTTTTTTATTTTTTTTTTTTTTTCTCAATATTACATAAGAAAAATGGGTCTAAGCTCCTCACCCATCTACCCTGGACTGTGTCAGCTCATTAGGCCAGGCATCTTCTGCAGATGGTGGTCAGGGTGCCAGTGCTGGCCCAGGCCAGTATGGTTTCTCGAGAGCAGCACAGCTGGAGATCGTTGAAAAGCCCCCAGTTCACAGTTGTGATGTGTACGAGTTTCTCAGTGTTTGGGTTTGGTTTCCCTTCCCCCCCCTAAATTTCATCTAGAGTGCTAGAAGCATTTGTGCTGCCTCCCAGCCCCTGGATTTGGCAAGCAGCTTTTAAAGCACACGCTTCAGCACCAGTTACATAAGGAAAGGTGTGAATGACTGGAGGAGAAAATGCCAGTTGGTTTTGCTCCCCAAGTGGTGTACAGATGCTCTTCTGCTTGCTCCTGGGCACACAGCTCCTGCAAGGGTCGTTCATCCGCAGATGGAGAAGAGAAACTATTTGAACTGGCATGTGTGTCTGTGCAGGGAGCATTGTCTGCTCTTCCCATGATGATTTTCCTTTCCCTGTCTTAGGGTAAAGACTGAGTGTATTCTACCTTGCCCTGGAAAAAAAAAAATCATAAAGCAGTGGAGGAAGCTGGGAAACTTTCTTGTTTATGGATGAGCAACTTTCTCTCCCAACGGAACCTCCTGCCAGCAGAAATCATTTTAATTTTTTTTTTTTTTAGGATGTATTATATAAGCCCCTGCTTGCATTTAACTAACTGACTTTCTCTTAAACAATTTATGTACTCCTCCTATTCCTCACAGGCCAGCTTGCTCCTTCAGCAAGGCTCACCACGTAGGACCTGCCACTGGCACACATTATAGACAAAACACGATAGGCACTTCCTAGCATGACGCTTCAAGCGTTAGGCCTGCTTGCTTCCTCTGTAAAGCACTGAAAGAAGAGAACAGAATCTTCGAGGAGCAGAGTCCCTTCAGCTTAACAAGCCTGACATTCAGAATCTTCTCCTCCTATAAGGCACACTCCTGCCTCTCCCCAAAAATCTTAACAGCATCAGTTCTGAGCAAGAGCTTTCAGCACCCAACTACTCGCTACCAGGCTAAGTATCACCTTACAAATCTGTTTATTAGCTGCTGAAAAACATGAAATTAAGGGGTGTCTTAGCTCTGGTGTCATCTGGTCTCATCGCTCAGGAGCATTCTTGGGCTAGGGCAGGGTGAAGGCACTGATGCTGGGGTTTCTGCTTGAGGGACAACCAGGTCACACCCTTCCACTCTCCTTTTCAAGCCACCTTCGCTGGCTACAGAGG